CAATGTGTGCTCCTGCATAAGCATATGCTGCTGTATTTATGCAGGGGAGTGTGATGATACTGGTATGGGAAGCTTATATATGAGCTTGATTAGAGCGTTGCTGCTACGGCAATTGAAATTTGTGTGACCCCTAAATGGGTCAGAGCTGGTGAATAAGAGTGAATGGAAGTAAGGAATAATTGGAGTTTGGAGGGAAAATTAAAGGAAGAAAAGAGGGAAAGAGGCCTAGAAATGCATGTAGGTGGAGGTCTGCTGGAGAGGATCAGCTGGGCTTCCCTGATAAGGTTTTACTCTCTTGAGGTATAAAAAGCTAAGAGGGTTTGAAATGGGTGTGTGTGTGTGTTTGGTGGTGGTGGGGGGGCGGGGGGAGTTTTTCATCCTGCAGTTAATCAGCTATGCTGTGGTATAATGTTGGATGAAATTTTGATGTTAGCTCAGAACATCTCAAAACCAAAGTCTAGAGTGAATATGGCATTAAGGGTGTGGGCTGAAGATGAATTTGCATACGTGAATCAGAAACATTTCCATTCAATAAATGTGCAAATAAAATATGATGCACAGACTTATTAATGATTCCTATTTGTCTTCTTTGTGATAAATAGTAGGCAAAATCTTATATGCAAAATGAGTTCATCAGACGCTGGATTCGAAGGGTTGAGTTCATGCTCCTGCATTTTACGAGCTGCGCCACAGAGACAGTTATGAGTACTGCAACATTTTACACATATAAATCACACTTTTTCCTGTTTACTACATTCAGTGCGATGTTCAGACCCAACTGTGTTAACCGCATCAGCTAAACTCTCCCACTCAATTTATTTATTTTTGTTATTAATTCCGGTGGACAAACAAATAACACCAAATAACACCGTTTTTCTCCGGTCTACCTCCGAAAGGAGCACCTCTAATTCACATTCTGTTCAAAGTTTCTCGTTTCGCATGCTTTTGCCATTGCTTTTACCTTTGGTTTTGCCAAAGTAGAGTCATTAGCATATTCAGGAGGCAGGGAGGGGTTTTGTGCTCATGCATGTTGCGCTCAGTTTTACGTTCATTTGGATGTACAAAAGAATATGCGTGGGATTTAGCGTACGCAGTGTTTCATACATCTGAATTTCATACTTCTGAAAAATGTACACATTTACAGCTTTGTGCGTACGCAACATTTTAGTATGATTTCCACGCAAGTCTTCGTACATGAGGCCCCTAATGTGCCAGCGTCTTGCGGGGATTCAGGCTTGATTGCAGGTGAAGTTTTGAGGAGAGCAGGGTTCTGGCTGGAGGAGTTGTTGTTTGTTTGTTTGTTTTTCATGTCGGAAGGTTAAATGATGCTGAAGCATAGGTTAAATGCTGGAGCGTTTAAAGAGGGAAGCATTCTTCCAAAACGAAGATGGAGCAATAAGGAGAAAGTGAACCATTTATATTAAGCTAGGATCACTCTGATTGGATTACTACTGATAACGGATGTGTGGCCAGCAGTGCTCAATCATATCACGTGCTCCTCTCGAAATTAGTTTATGAAACATCTCTTAAGCTGCATCGAATGAGCGAAACTCTGTAGACACTAATCAGATTTGTACGGTTTCGCTCCTGTGTGAATCCTCTATTGTGTTTTCAGATGTGTTAAGTGATTAAACCTCTTGTCACATTGTAAACACTTGTGCGGTCTCTCCAGTGTGAATCGTCTCGTGCAGTTAAAATTTTGGAGCTGTAATAAAAGTCTTCTCACACTCAAAGCACATATACTCTTTCACACCAGTGTGGATCTTCATGTGGTCATTAAGGTTTGCTGATTGGTTGAAACTCTTCCCACACTGAGTAGATGTCAATTGTTTCCCTCCAGTGTGGGTCTTCATGCGTTTATTAAGGTCTGAGGAGTTGCTGAAACTCTTTCCACACCGAAGCTGCAATCACATTAGAGTTTTAGCATGGAAAATTCTGTTGTACGGCACTGCAAAAAGGGGCGGGATTAAACAAGATTTTTAGACCTTAAAAAGGAGAGCGTTTGGTTCATATTTTATATTTCTGTCCAGAGAAGTCATGTTTTGATCTTCGATAGGTCTCACACTGTCAAGTGATGTGATTTCGCAGGTCAGAGTTCACCAAGCTTGAACTTGAGTGAATGGTTTCTCTACAGTACGGCTCATCATGTTTTAGGGAATCAACCTACATTTTAAGATCGATCAGGGTTTATTAGCTTATTTCAATGTACCGGATCTTAAAGATTTGAATCATTGATTTGACTCAATTGAGTCAGACTGAATCAGGTTAAAAGATTCACACTTTATTTACCATTTGTCCTGCAAATAGAAGTCATCGTATCTTACCAATCTTGTTAATATTATTTATGTGGCCAACGATAATAACATAACACAGTATTGAGTTAACTTTTAGCAAGGTAACAAGATCTACAGCTCGAGGCAATGACTTAGAAACACATAAACAAGAACACAATTCTTACAAAATGAGAACAAAGATTTATTGAGCTACACTACGATACATGAAACTAACTACGTAATAAGCAAACAAACAAACTCGCACACACACATACACACAGAGGCAGGTTAGAGGATATAAAATGATTTGACAACCATCCTAAATTAATTCTAATACTTCTAACAAGATCTTAGAATAACACCTGAGAAACCACAAAAGCAGAGATATGGCTTATCTTTAACTGTTTACGATCAATCTGCCCCAGATCAGTAAGAGACAACGTCTGTTTGTTACTTGCACTTTTGCTGAAGATGAATCTCCCTCGCCAGCTGGCCTTGGGGAAACACGGTGCTCCTGATTGGCTGGTGGCTTCTGTGACGTCCTTGGAATTCCCTCGCTCGTGGGTGGGTAGTTTTGGGTTACTGAGGTGACAGACTGCTGAAAGTCGGTTTGCGGAAGTTCGTGCGGTTTCAAAGCAAAGTTTCTTTGTTGCAGGGTGTTTTTAAGTGACCTGGTCTGATCCATCCCTATGGCACTGTCTGCCAATGAGCAGTTGCCATGAAGGGCGGGGCCACACCGTGGGCCCACGTAGAAAGGGTCAATCATTAACAGACTGCATGTAGATTTTACATGGTAAAACTCTTGCAAGATTGAAACTATCTTAAATAAAATGTTACAAGACAAATACTGTTTGTACTACTAGTTCTCATTTACACCAACATAGGGCTGGGCGATTTGGCAAAAAAAAAAAATCTAGGTTTTTTTATAAAGTTTGACCGATTCACGATTTCGATTTTTTTTTTTATTGTGTTACTAGTCTTCTCAAAACATTACAACAACATGACTGAAGTAACACTCTCTTTAAAAGTAACTTAAACCATCTGGTTAAGGAACATTGTATTTTTAATGGCCATGTCATACAAAAATCGGTCAAGGTGTAAAAAAATGTTAAACAAATTAACGAGTTAAATAGCGTTGCTGACGATTTGAATAAGAAATATTTGTGTAAATATTGCACTTGCAGGAATACAGAGGGATTTTTTGCATGTTTTGCTGAGCCTCGGAAAGATTGGCTGTCAGCTCGGTTTTGACTTTTTCTTCTGATTAAATGACAGGTTGTAATGATGCAGCCTTTTTCTTAAAAGAAAAAAGGACTGAACATGGAAACTGTAAAGCCTAATTTAACCTAATGTGTGAAGTTGTGGACGCAAAGCAGGAGCAAAAACAAGTACCAGATGTGTGTCTAATATAAATTAATATATTTAATATATTTTTCTTTTTTTCCCCTTTTAAATACCGATCATTTGATGTGCTTTGCTCCACTCTCTGTATCATGCTGCCTGATCTGTCTTGTTTTCAACTTGGTCCGCTAAATGACGTCATGGGGGCGGGTACTTTCCTTTTCACTGCTACTGGCCCTCTCCTCTGCTTGTGTTCAAACCAAAAGATCGGCGCAGTTTTTCACATGGCAGGCTTTTACATCCTTCAAACATGTTGAGATCGAGTTTATCGACTTGATAAGGTAATATGTCTTGACAATACACACAGACGTGACTCAGACTAATGCAAAGTAAAATCCTACATGACTTCACGCTTTAACAGGCAGTCAAGCAGGTCGCACACCAGAAGCGCCGCGACACATGACAGTTTAAAGTATCACACACCAGACGCGCACATTCGCATAATATTTAACATGAAACTAATCAGATGGCGCTCTGTGGCGCGGCTGAAATATGACCTGCGTCCTGAATCGTGGTGCGGCGAGTCACCGAGAGGCGCTTCTGGTGTGCTTCCAGCTTCATACAGAGTGAACCAAAGCGCATTGGTGCCATTATAATGTATTAAATATATATATATATATATATTTTTTTTTAAATCGCAATTTCTCAATTTGATTCAAAATTAAATCGTCTGAAAACGTAAATTCGAATTAATCGAAAAAAATTTTTGAAAAATCGCCCAGCCTTACATCAACAGATTGCAAATGTCACTACCTTTCATTCAAGACCAGATATCATACATTTCAGACAAATACAGATCAATTTATTCTGCTTTAAGGGTTAAAACAACACATCGATTAACCTGGTTGGTTGAAATAACCACAGCATATGAGGAACATTATGGTTTATTATTTAAAGATACATCTGCCTTAGTTCTAACATTTTAAAAGATTGTCTTTCATTTGTATGCATTAATGTTTCTAGAGATTTTTTGTCTCTACAAAATTGTGCATCTGACAGGATGTGCCCAAAGCACATGACCATGTAGAGGAGTCATTTAAAAGTCTTGTGAGGCGGTTCCTGCTGAAAATCCTGTAAAGCCCCTTTATTAAGTTTAAATCATTTACTAATTTTGCTGAAGGGTACCTGGAACATCTGCGGCCAAAGTATTGGTCAGAATAACTCAAAATCAATTGGTGCTTTGTTATCGTGATGGTTTAAGCCCTTAAGCCTGTTCAATGACTGAGACAATTTGCAGATGCCCAAGATTTCAGATTCAACTCGTGTTGACCACTGCAATATGCCCATGAGTTCCTTCAACGTGTTTATAAAAGAATGATGATTTGCTAAAACTCTCCCCACACTGAGTGCATGTGAATGGTTTCTCTCCAGTGTGGATCATCATGTGATAATTAAAGGATGATGATTGGATGAAACTCTTCCCGCACTGAGTGCATGTGAATGGTTTCTCTCCAGTGTGGATCTTTATGTGTTGATTAAGGTGTGATGAGCAGTTAAAACTTTTTCCACAATGAGTGCATGTGAATGGTTTCTCTCCAGTGTGGACCCTCATGTGTTGATTAAGGGATGATGACTGGATGAAACTCTTCCCGCACTGAGTGCATGTGAATGGTTTCTCTCCAGTGTGGATCTTCATGTGTTGATTAAGGTGTGATGAGCAGTTAAAAGTCTTCCCACACTGAGTGCATGTGAATGGTTTCTCTCCAGTGTGGATCATCATGTGATAATTAAGGTGTGATGATCTGTTGAAACTCTTCCCACACTGAGTGCATGTGAATGGTTTTTCTCCAGTGTGGATCATCATGTGATAATTAAGGTGTGATAATCTGTTGAAACTCTTCCCACACTGAGTGCATGTGAATGGTTTAGCTCCAGTGTGGATCCTCATGTGGTGATTAAGGTTTGATGATTGGTTGAAACCCTTCCCACACTGAGTGCATGTGAATGGTTTCTCTCCAGTGTGGATCATCATGTGATAATTAAGGTGTGATGATCTGTTGAAACTCTTCCCACACTGAGTGCATGTGAATGGTTTAGCTCCAGTGTGGATCATCATGTGGTGATTAAGGTTTGATGATTGGTTGAAACTCTTCCCACATTGAGTGCATGTGAATGGTTTCTCTCCAGTGTGGATCATCATGTGAATCTTAAGTTTGGATTTGCTTGCCAAACTCTTTCCACACTGAGTGCAGGTGAAACGATTCTTGTCTCTCCTTTTTAAAACACCATCAGTCTGTAAATGAGTTTTTTCCTCAATTTTGACATGATGTTTCTCCTCTTTACTCCCCTCATTCTCTTCAATTAGGTCTGAAATAAATAAAACATTAGTTTTCATTAAGTCTTAATACTCTCATCAAAAGCTGAAAAGTGAAAAGACACTGGAAACGTTCGAGGTTACTAAAGTAACCCTTCGTTCCCCGAGGAGGGGAACGGAAGCACTATAAGTGGATTTGATGTTCTAAATCCACGTATGGGAGGATTCGGTTCAGAAGCCGCTCGTCTGAAAGAGTATTGAACGGGCCAATGAAAGCAATGAATTGGCAGCGCAAGCCTGCGCAGGTGTACTGCATAGCCAATTAACTGAGCATATAAGCACACCTGGCGCCAGCAGACGCTATCCTTTTTAAGCTGAAGAGACTTTTAACAGCTAAGGGACAGTCATTATGGCGACGGAGTATAGTGCTTCCGTTCCCCTCCTCGGGGAACGAAGGGTTACTTTAGTAACCTCGAACGTTCCCCTTCGGGGGAAACTCCAGCACTATAAGTGGATTTGATTTTCTAAATCCACGTATGGGAGCCCATTGAAAGCGCCATAATGACTGCACCTTACCAACACCCATCATGAGAGGGCAGTCAGGCAAGGGTGACGCACTTAACCGTGGCGGAAAAGCATATGGGGATCACCAGCGGGGATGGCCATAGCAGGCACCTATACCCAAAACACGGACTGACCAGCGGGCAGACCTACAACGTAGTGGGCCAGCAAGTGACTCCTCCGCTGAGTCACTGCTGGGGGCCTCGGAGGAATCTGCAGGGCTCACCGAATGGGGAACTTTACTGACAGACAGGAGGGTGCACATCTCTCCGTGTTCGGGAAAAAAAGGCACCGCAAGCGTGCTACAACACCTACCGAGTTGTTTCCTCAATCACCAAAGGTCCCTAACACCCTTGAGGAAACCGGCTCCACTCGCAGATTATAAAACCTTGCAAATGTGTTGGGTGTCGCCCAGCCCGCATCTCTACAAATGTCTGTTAAAGAAGCGCCGCGCGCACACGCCCAAGAGGATGCAACGCTCCGAGTGGAGTGCGCACGCACTCCCGGGGGGAATGGCTGACCTCTGCTCAAATAAGCACATGAAATGGCCTCCACAATCCAGTGGGATAAACGTTGTTTAGACACGGCACTTCCCTGCTGCCGTCCGCCATAACACACAAAGAGCTGCTCAGAAGATCTAAAGTTCTGAGTACGGTCCACATAAATGCGCAGGGCATGAACTGGACAAAGTAAGGACAGGGCTGGGTCTGCCTCCTCCGGGGGCAGCGCTTGCAGGGTTACTACCTGATCTCTAAAGGGAGTGGTAGGAACTTTGGGCACATAACCCGGGTGGGGTCTTAGGATAACGTGAGAAAAATCCGGCCCGAATTCCAGGCACGAGTCACTGACCGAAAATGCCTCCAGGTCCCCGACCCTCTTAATGAAGGCCAACGCGACCAGCAGAGCTGTCTTCAGGGACAGAAATCTTAAAGATACTGTATGTAGTTGCTCGAAGGGATCAAATCGCAGGCTCGTGAGAACGAGGGCGAGATCCCAAGAGGGCGTGAGAGGGGGGCGAGTTGGATTAATTCGCCTAGCGCCTCTGAGGAACCGGATGATGAGGTTATGCTTTCCCACGGTGCCGCCAACCACCGCGTCATGATGAGCGGAGATGGCGGCAACGTAAACCTTGAGAGTGGAGGGCGACAGCCTACTGTCCAGCTTCTCTTGAAGGAAAGAGAGCACAACACTGATCTGGCAAGATCAGGGGTCTTCTCAGCGAGAGACACACCACTTCACTTCAGGGCATAGGCGCGCCTCGTGGAGGGGGCTCTAGCCTGAGTGATGGTATCAACCACCGCGGGCGGCAGGTTACCGAAGTCTTCCTCGCGTCTATGGACCACACGTGGAGGTTCCAGAGATCAGGGCGAGGGTGCCAGATGGTGCCTTGTCCCTGAGAAAGTAGGTCCTTTCTCAAAGGTATCTGCCATGGGAGGGCCGTCGCGAGGAGGGAGAGCTCTGATATCCAGGTCTGGTTGGGCCAGAGGGGCGCAACTAACAGAACCTGTTCCTCGTCCTCCCTGACCTTGCACATTAACTGCGCGATCAAGCTCACTGGGGGAAACGCATACTTGCATATGCCCCGAGGCCAGCTGTGGGCCAGTGCATCCGTGCCGAGAGAGCCCTTGGTCAGGGAATAAAACAACTGGCAATGAGCGTTCTCGGGGGAAGCAAACAGATCGATCTGGGCCTCCCCGAATCGCGCACGATGGACGCTCTCGCGAGCGAGGTCATGCCTACAGCGCGCGCGCGCGATCAGTTCTCTCCGCTCGCTCGCTGGTTCTTCTCTCTGCTCGCGCGAAACAGATTTGATTTTTGTCAGTCCTGGGGCGGGACTTGGTGTACTTGTTATCTCTAACGCTATTGGCTACTCTGCCTTTCCGGAAGTTAGCCGGGATTGGACGCAGGTAAGCTAGTTTCCCCGTTAAATAAAAATATATAGGATATCTTATCATAATGTCACAATGTGAAACTAATAGACTCACTTTCTCAGTAATAATAGGTGGAGACTTACTTTCAATAATGAGATATTTCTTGTAATAATTAATCTCATAATAATGCCTATTCTTACCATCATGACCAAGTCATATAATGACATATCAAAATAATGAGATATATTTCTGTAACAAACTTTATTACTTTGGAGAGAAAGAGAGAGTTATACCATGTGGCAAAAGATCTCTCCATTAAACAGAAATTGGGAAAAAAATATACATGGGCTAATAATTCAGGACGAATAATTCAGACTTTAAATGTGTGTTTTGAACCATTTGATGAAGTTTAGCACCTACATTTAAACTAAACTCAAGCCAAATTTATGAACATGAACTCACGTGTTCAAATTTATAAAAATCTTTTTTTTCTTAGACTCATTGTCCTTGACTCATTTTCTTATGAAGAACAAGTCAGAATAAATTGGATGGACAATAGTATACAAAATAGGCTACACATGCATGAAGTGCATAAAGTACAAAGGTTTATAGTAAATATATTGCCATTAGTCATTCCACTAAACAGTTAAAGTCAGAATTATTAGCCCGCCTGAATTATTAGCCCCCTGTTTATTTTTATCCTAATTTTTATTTAATTGAGAGATTTTTTTCAAACATTTCTAAACATAATAGTTTTAATAACTCATTTCTAATAACTGATTTATATTATCTTTGCCATTATGATAGTAAATAATATTTGACTAGATATTCTTCAAGACACTTCTATACAGCTTACAGTGACATTTAAAGGCTTAACTAGATTAATTAGGCAGGTTAGGGTAATTAGGCAAGTTATTGTATAACGATGATTTGTTCTGTAAACTTTTGAAAAAAATAAATAGGTTAAAGAGGCTAATAATATGGACCTTAAAGTGTGTTTTTTAAAAAATTAAAAACTACTTTTATTCTAGATAAAATAAAACAAGAAATAAGTGGGATAATAATTCTGACTTCAACTGCATATGTGACCTTTAAGATGTGGGCATGTTGTATGAAAAAGTGGTATTTGTATGCCTCTGAATTGGAATAATGTAATGGATAGTGAGTAAAGCCAAACGAAGACTGTAGAAATTAAATTGTTGCTCAATAGGTGGCGATAAACACCCATCTGAATGTCTGTCACTGTATTCTTTATGTTTGATTGGGCTAATCATTTTTGATTGAAGTCTTTATATGCAGGTTATTCAATCATTAACTAAAAATGAGATTGAAAAATAAAAATTATATATATATATATATATATATATATATATATATATATATATATATATATATATTTTTTTTTTTTTTTTTTTTTTTTTCCACTGATCTATATTACAAAAAAATTTAATAATTATAATAATATACAAAGCTGCACTGCACATCTGCATTGTATGGAAAGATCTAAAAACCAAACAAACTCTTCTGAAGACAATATTTCCTAGAAAGATCAACCCCAAGTGTCATAATGAGCTCTGCTGTTGTGGTTAATAATGAAGTAAAATACAACAAACCAGACAAGTGCTGCACGGGACAAATCAAATGGGTTCAGAAAGTCATGTTACAAGAATGCAAGTCATTATTTTAGAAGATTAATTATCATCATTTGACTGTTTCTCGAGATTGAATCCTCATAAAGTTCTCAGAAAGTTTCTTATGATTATGACTTGCAAATTGTATATATATTTAATGGCGTGATCTTTTAACCTGCGTCCAATCCCGGAACTTCCGGAAAGGCAGAGTAGCCAATAGCGTTAGAGATAACAAGTACACCAAGTCCCGCCCCAGGACTGACAAAAATCAAAACTGTTTCGCGCGAGCAGAGAGAAGAACCAGCAAGCGAGAGGAGAGAACTGATCGCGTGCGCGTGCTGTAGGCATGACCTCGCTCACGAGAGCGTCCACCTTGCGCACAGATGATGATGTGCGCGCGCGGGACTTGTTTTCTCGCGCTGGATCAGTTGAGCACACGCATGAAGATCCCCTGTGCGCTCGCGAGCTGTAGTTTTCTCGCGTGTAGACCTGTAATCTGCTCACGGTTCACTTCTCCTCGCGCGCAAACATCACCGCTGCGCTCGATTAATATTGGCATTGATTTGCCGTCATATACAAAAATCTATTTGTAATAAAGTTCACGGCCATTTGGCCGCCGGGAAGAAAGAGGCGGAGAACCGACGCAGGTTTAAATTATTTATTAATAACAGGGACGGCAGCTCCTCATGGAGACTGCCGTCTAAACAAAAACAAATGGATGGCAGCTCCTCATGGAGACTGCAGTCAAACTGAAAGCAAAAGTAACACAATATGCCCGGGCCCGGTCCTCTCTCGCCTTTCTCTGCCATCGTTCCTCCTCT